GCCGACTCCGAACAGCGATTGTATTTTTATGAGAAGCTGTTTTTCATGGCAGAAATACACAGAGGTTTGCTATTGCCAGCCGAGGGCGACCGCTTTAGACAACTTTTTGTTTTTTTTCTTTTTGTTTTTGTCGGAAACCGGGGTTGAACCCAGACCTTGCGGGGTGGTGGCGTGCACTGCTAACCACTACACCACAGTGGCCGGATTACCTTTCTAATTTCACTATAAATTGAGTTAGAAGTTGAAAATGTGTTTTTTGTAGCATTTTGGCACATCTTGGTTATTCGATTTAAAAAATGAGGGGTCAAATTAAAGGGCTTGGCCTGTAAATGTGCAATAACGTTTTTTCTTTGAAAAGGGTTGCGTCCCGTCCAAAATTATTTTTATGTATTGAAACATTATGGCCCATTTTCACCAACAATACACGTTCCCGATTTCCACTGGCATATTTATCTGCTAAGATTATGGTTGGTGGTTGTCATACGGCATATTTCCATTGCCGTCCTAACTAACACGGTTCAACAAAATTTGGTCGTATTTTATCTCAAAAGCAGGGCTGACCACATCTTATAAGTTTTTTTTATACCACGTCCAGTTTTTGAAAAAAAGAACTCTTGAGCTGTCAAATAATGGAAGACATGGCAAATTTTAAAAATAAAATGTGAAATTAAAACAAAAAGCGTCAGCAAACGTCAAAGCTGTGAAGTTGTGTTTGTTTGTACTCTCATTTAATATCTTATTTTGCAAGAGTTTTAACATTGATTAATGTGAAAAGTATCAAGAGACGTTTGGTGCACAATTTAAAGTTAAGTAAAATATCAAAATTTCTATTGAATTTTATAAATTTAATTTAACATTATTAATTATGTGTTCCGAGTCTTTTCTTTCATATAATTATATTGTTGTTGTGAATTTATTCTGTTTATCCATAATTACAATTGTGTTTTTTGTGCACATTTTTTTGCTCTGTTTGTCATTTCTGCTATTTCATCCTTGTCACAGCTGTTTGCTTTGTGTCAAAAATACAGTGTATTTAAAACTGTTCGCTACATAGAATTCATGCTAATAATTATCAGCTGATTGTTTTCTATTGCTACATCGCTTTTAAAACTGTTTGCATTTTTGCCTCAAATATTACATATATACCTACAAACATATCCAGAGATATCATTTCAAATATGTCGTGTATTTACGACAATTGTCACGTTAAGAGCGACGCCTATGTGCTGGCTTTGCGATGGGATTGCCCATATGTTGTTGTTGTTGTTTTAGCGGCACTACCAAGCCCCGCCTATTTCGGGTCAACATTCAATCATTGTCGTCAAGCTAAACTTACGGGAGGCCCAGGAAACAAGCTGTTTCAATGGGGTCGGACCAGAGGGAGAGGGGTGTTAGTTGAGTCGGATTGAGCTGGCATGGGTTGGTGTCGTAGGGGATTCTCCACATGCCGGGCACTCATTGGGGATATTGGGGTCGAGCCTGGACAGGTAGCTGTTGAGGCGGCTACAGTATCCAGACCGTAATTGAGCCAGGGTAACGCGCGTCTCTCATGGCAATTGAAGCTCCGTTTCTTCTGCGGGTGATGATTGGGCTCCGATTACGGCATTCATAGGTTGAGAGTCAAGGTAGGTGGTCACTGACTCTCTATGGATGCCGTTAATAGCTCGTCTGTATGTCTTCGGGTCCAGTGGTTGGTCTAAGTATAGCTGGACTGCGTCCTTGTATACGAATAGGTGCCCCCTGACCTGCCTGGGCGGAGGCTCCTCCTGTGGCAGAGGTCTGTTTGGGTGTTCGCTTCGGAGGCACCCCACTAGAAATTGCTTGCAAAGCATTTTGTTGTGTTGCCTTACGAGGAGCACTTGGGCCTCGCTGTGTAGGTGGTGCTCAGGCGTCATCAGGAGGCACCCAGTTGCTGTGCGGCATTCTGACAAGTCTATAGCTTCGTCCACTGCGTCCAACTAGTCCCCGGTGTCCAAACTGGCGCAGCATAGTTTAGAACCGGCCGGCCAATTGCCTTGTATGTTGCCAGCAACGTTTCTTTGCTGCCGGCGAGCG